TATATATATAAATATTCCAACTGCCACTATCCACCTATTCTATAAAACACTCCTGATTATCAGTGTTTGGAAATATAGGCATTTTCCCTGTACACTAACAAAAGTGATGAGCAAAAACCATGAGAGGAGCTGCAGCTTCACCACAGTATTAAGTAAAACAGATGTGCATACAGGTATTCTGCTCTGGGTTTTGACATTTAACAGCTGCCATTGCCAGATTTATACCAATGGATTTACAATAAGAACTTTAAAAGAAATAGAAACCTATTGCCTAAAAGGGAAGTTGCATGTATGCTTTTTAAAAAGATGCTCTACTGAGGAAGCAGTAATATACTATTGGGAATCAATAGTCACATCAATATACATTGAAGGAAATCCTAGAAATCCTAGTTCATTACTTSTTGCTGAACAACAGTGGTATTCAACTGTAATAGATTTAATAATCTCGGATTTAAAGTGATAACTAAGGATCCACCTTGGATCACTTTAAATCCGGGACTCTTAATTCTGTGATAATTGGTAGATCACTTTATCTCTACCTTGGAGATAAAGATATCTCACCTTGAAGCCTGGCGAACTCTCAGATGTACAATATCCCTTGATTTGTTATTAACTGTACTATAAAACCTGTGCAAAAATTTATTTAAAAGTAAAAAAAAAAAAAAAAATAAACAATATCTAGGATTCCTTAAAGCTACTTTACTGAGGTGAAAAGTACGCTTGGATTTCAGGAACAAGTCCAAGTGCTTAGTTCTATCTGAAGCAAAAAAAAAGGAAAACAATTCCTCACATCCTTCACATTACACAGCTGTTATTCTAAATATAAAGCAAATAAAATGCACACTGACTTTTTGACGCGGCAGCATAAGCTCCACCCTCACATCCATCCTAAGCAACTCATGCACTCTAACTTTAAAAATCATCCATTATACAAACTGACAACCTGGCAACATGCTGGCTTAAGGAAAACACTTTCCATCCCTCCCAGTCCCATGCCCGGAATCACCTTTCCTTGCTTGTTCTGCTCCTCCATTTCCCAACACTGCCTGTGCTATTTATTGCCTTACTAAAAAAATGGCTCAATGTGCCTTTGAGTTTTCTGCTATATTTGGGATCATTTTAAATAACTCTCCARCCAATTGTACCAACAGGCCTCACACTCACTCCTTGTACTGAACCTCTGCAGACTCAAGGCCTCATCCAGCCTGGCTTTGAACACTGCCAGGGTTGGGGCATACACAGCCCTCCTGGGCAACCTGTGCCCGTGTCTCAGCACCCTCACAGGAAAAAAGAAGATGAAGTTGATGCCAGCCCTATCTCAGTCCTGGTTCAGAAGCTGCTCTGGCCCGTGGCAGCACAGGTCAGCAGCAGCGCAGTAACCTGAACAGGAGACAGGCTCCCTATCTAGGGCAACGACAACAGTGGGAGGAATTCCTCCCCCACCACTCATTCCTAACCTCTGTCTCATGCACTCGGTCTGGTAAATGCACACCTGGCACACAATCGAAGCTGTATCTTAAATTACAAGTGCACTTCATATGCAGTGTTAGGTAGGAACTGATGGCCCTGATAAGAAGTGGGCCAGGGAAAGCAGAGCTGCTGTATATTTAAGTTCTGCCCAACCATTTTTGTTGATCTCAATGTAGATGACACTAGGTACCTTCTGTAGAGAAGAAAACTGAAACCACAGCTCCCAGGCAATATTGGCCACTGGCCAACTCTTTTTCCATCCAGTGTCTTTTAGTTCACGTCTGTATAAAACAAGAAAAACAACCTGCAGCTCCAGCACGTCCACTATTAAGGCAAGGTCCTCCTCATGCACCACTCAAGACTGCAAAGAAGAGTCTGAGAAAGGGTCTTGGCACTGTCAGGCTCCACGACCATCACAGGGCATTGGGGAAACCTGTCACACCACTCCAGTGTGGGCTTTACTTTCGATACAACACAGGTTACACTGASTGAGTGGCCACAGAAGGAATAACCAGTGCTGCATTTAGAGTCCGTTTGCATGTGCCTGCCTACGGAGCTCAATTTTGAAAAAACACACAGATTTTAGGAGTGTCAGCAAATTATGGACAATCCTAATTTCCCTCCTCCACCCTCAACCAAAAGAGCAATGAAACAAAAGCAACAGCAAACTAGTAATCCATATCCAGTCTAAACATAGCTCTACCAGCAGRTGAGAAATACTTTCTTAAGCCTTCTCTTCCATACAGCCGGCCTATTCCAAATGGATATGTGAGGGGCAGCAATCCCAGTTACAGGGAGGAGAGGAGGAGACTTTGGAACAAAGATGAACACAAAAGCAGTCACAATGCAGCTGCTTCAGAAGGTGGCAAAATTAAACAGTGTGGACAGCTTTTGAGATAGGCCTTCCACACACACACACACAAAAAAAAAACAAAACAAAAAAACCCGAAGACACTGCACCATCTAAATAACAACCCAATCTATGAACAAACAGAACAAAACTGTAAATTTTGTTTCTCAGGAAAYTGCTTTCCTCCTTCCATGCAACTTCCTTCTCTCCTACGAAAACAAATGTCCTGAAGCACAGTCACCACATGCTTGAGTATACAATGAGATTTCCCTTAATCATTAACTCCAACTCTTTTTTAGTTTAAGTAATGCCTTACTCTGAAGGGTTTTCTTACAAACAAGCACTCATTCATCACATTAACTACCTGACTCTATWTATCATTAACTTCAATATATTTTGCATGTTTACTTGGCTCAGGTTACTGTTTGGTATTTGAGTATGAACTTCATTTACATCAGTGTAACAGGCTGAACCTATTTTACTAGATATATATCTTAACATCACCTGGCATATATCTATATCCAAACCCTGCCTTAGTGGTTTGCTCAAGAAGTCTGTCGAGTTYTATGAAAGGGCTGAAGCATCATCCTTGTGTTAGGAGAAGGTGTCATCTGCTGAACYCTCTTAATTTATTATGCTGAAAATGTATAGCTACTGCTGTTGGATTATTCAATGAACAGCTAACAGGCAGCACCATCGCTGGCAGTGCATGTTCCAGAGGCCATTAAAGGTTACACATGATTAAAGTGTGCATGAGATGCAAACACCTAAATAACGAACACCTCCTGAAAGCCCCACCACAGCAGTCTCTGGTGAGGGGGAACCGTCTGTTTCAAGTTTATACAGTTCTGTAGTTTAAAATAATAATGAAGATGGACTGGTAAATACAAAGAAATGAGAGCTATGTTAAAAATGCATTAAATATTTTCCAAAATAACTTTTATGTGGAAATATTTAAGGCTTCTGTAGAATTTTATTAAAATACAAACTTTGTATTCATGCACAAAGTGCAGAAGAAATAAAAACATGAAACCAAACATCCTTTCAGAGACTGCAGAATTTTGCTAACTCTTTTAATTGGATGAAAAGACTGGAGACATGAAAATCTTAAACATATATTGGGAAAAAGAAAATCCACATTTTTAATCACTGCACTTAGTCTAAGCTGACAYATTCCAAAGATTCAAAAAGTAGACCTTAAAGAAAAAAAAAATGTACGTTTCTAAGGTCTACCTGCAGCTTTCTTTGCTCATTTTTGCCCTTGAAATTGGMAAGGCTACAATCGCAAGTTTATCTGTAACAGTAAATATCAACACACGTATTATTCTTATTTGTATGCTGCAGTAGTCTGAGATAAAAAGAGCAACCAAGCAAGGACCAACATTATCTTTACCCTGACAATCATCTTTTGTCCCCACCATCAGGGAATTCAAACGTCCATCTACTTTCTATAAAACACTCCATGACACCAAGTTTCTCTGTAACCTTCTATATAAATAAATCTGTATTTATTTATTGAGCATCCTCACTGAACTATTTTATACTACAACGCTTTTTTTCCCTAACACAAATGTTTCACTTTTTTTTTTTCCCCGAATTTTTTTTCCCCGACGCTCTGCTATAAAGTTATATGCTACAATTATTTCATTAATGAACTGAGCAAACAGCAGCACTAGATCTAGGGAGGTCTGTGCAAATCCAGGGCAGGGGACCTGGGCAATGCACATGTACTTGCTTTACAATTAAGTGTCCAAAATAAACAAAGGGGATGCTCGAGAACACCAAAAAGCAAAGCGTATCACAGAGGAACACAACAAAATATTCAGCCAGTTTCTTGCTCTCCTTTAACAGGTGCTTYTGTGACGTGGTTCAGAGAAGCATGCGCTGAGCAGTGAATCACCTCTCCTGATCAGCATCAGCCCATCTCCSGAGCCCAGCCTCTTCCCCTGCAGCCGGGCGGGGGGCGGGGGGGCTGTGAGAGGCGGGGGGCTCCGGAGGAGATCAGAGACCGCCGAGGCASCGGGCAGGGCCCCGGGCAGGCCCAAGGAGCGGCCGGGGCTGAGCTCCCGCCCGGCGCGGAGCGGGGAAGTGGCGGGCAGCGGGTCCGGCTGCCGGCGGGAGCGACCGCGCTCGGGCCCCCGGGCTACGGGCGGGACGGGGAACGGCGGGAGGCTCCGGCGCTGCCCGGAGAGGAGCCCCGACCCGGGACAGCGCTGGGGCGGGCAGGGACGCTCCCGCCCGAGTCCCCCCCGGGCCGCCCGCCCGACCCCTGCTCGGCACTTCCAGGCGGCCTTTCCGCGCCGCTACCTGCTCCGGGCAACGGCCGGGGCAGCTCCTGCCCGCCCGKACCGGGGCGCCGAGCCCCACGCATCCGCTCGGCCTGCCCCCCCGAGCCACGGCCGCGGGGACGGACCTGACCCCGCGTAACCCCCGCTCCTTGCCCGGCCGCCTCCGCCCCAGCGTGAGCCCCGCGGGCCCCCCGGACCCAGGGCAGCGCCAGCCCGCGACCCCTCCTCGTGCGCGGGGCGACCCTCCCGCCCCTCGCCGCTCCCCAGATGCTGCCGAGGGGCAGCGAAGAGACCGGACCGGCTCTGTCCGATCCCTTCCCATCCCACTGCATCCCATCCCATCCCATCCCGTCCCTTTCCCAGCCGTCGCGCCGCGCAAAGCTCGCACTCACCGCACCCGGGCGCGGCGCTACCGGTGGAGATCACAGCGGTACCGGTGGCGGTACCGGCTGCTAAAATGGCTGAGGGCGCGGGGGAGGAGCGAGCCCCGCGCCGCCGCTCGCCAGGGCCGCCCAATCCTCTCTCCCTSCCTCCGCCACCGTGACGCGCGGGAAAGGGGCGGGGGCGGCCGCGGACCCGGGCCCTGGTCCGTGCTGCCACCGTGTCCCGAGGTGACCTCGGGGTTCGCGGGCTCGTCATGGGGTGACWCGGGACCCCGGGCTGCGGGCAGAGCTGGGCTGGCGCGGCCTCTGCTGCGGGGCTTGCTACGGGCCCGCTGAGGCCACGGACAGGCCGCGGGCAGGCGRACCTACCGGCAAAAAGCACTCCAGGAGCCCCAGCCCCGACCCCCGGGCACGGCCTCCCGAACAGGCTCCAGCTGGAAGCAGCAGGACCGCCAGTCCGGAACTTTCAGGCTGGAACAGACAGTTCAGAGGTTTGTAACCCAGTTTTGCCTCCTGACAATCTGGAGACCACCAGGCCCAGTCAGAGGCCCCTTTGGTCTTTACTCAGAACACAAGAAACGGCTTTCAGCAGCAGTGCTGACGAGAGCAACTGGGATTACTCACAGTGTGGTTCAAAAAGCCAGAGGCTACAAATATCCCCATGATTCATGCAAGAGTTTGCCAGATGGTTTTAGCTGTTTTGGAGTCTGAGGCTTCTTGGGAAGAGCATTGGCACAAAATAACTTGCATCTGACAGTGCCACTTCTTAATAGCTTGTAAGGGAAGAGAAAACATTCCATACTCCATCTATGTGAGCAGAAGTCCAGCAGGATCYTCCCCCGCCCCATATGGAGTGGGACAGAGTGTGAACAAAACAAAATTGGCATACATTACATAGCCATTGCTATATTGGGTAACAAGTTTGCTTCCATAAAAGACAACACCTTACAGGAGACTAAAATGTTATTGCAACAACTGCACGTGCAATGTGGATGTAATACTTATTCATTCTCACAGAAGCAAAAAGCACATCATTTCCTTGGATAGAGGCTGAGTGACTGTGTGGGTTTTGCTCTGTTTGGACTGTACGGCACTTGGGGCAGTTTATTATACTCTCACTTCGTTCTAATTTGTTTCAAACCCCGTTGTTTCACTTAATGTCAAATCATCACTAGTAAGAGAACCTGGATTGCACAAGATGCCCAAAGGCGTATCTGTTTTATGCAGATTACTTTTTGATCTAACCTCCCTAAATAGTTGGAAAAGGTTGGGCAAACCAACTTGCCACAATGTTTTTTTTTCAGCTAGAAMACTGACTCAGCCTATTTCCTAAGTCTTTGTCATAAACAGTAAATGGGCAAGAAAATCTACTTGTAATTTATTCCAACTATTTTGTACTTATAGTCTTAAGTTTTGAATTAAGTGAGTGTAGATTTACCATGATGTATCCTGGTGGGWAAGGAAGCCTGTCTTGTGCCTAAGCCAGCTAAAGCACTGGAATGGCCACAGTGAATCGGAGCAATGCCCAAGGAAGGTAGAACACGATGCTGTTCCCAACAGTGGCTGGCCATCTCCTGGGGACATGAGGACTTCTGCAGCTTAGAGACCTTTAGCTACAAGTAGCATATTGCTGCTCCTGACAGACAATGGAAAAGAAATCCAATTGCTTTCTCAAGCTTCCAGGATCTCCAGCCTGATGTTATTCCACAGTTTAACTTCGTGCTGGGTGGAAATCACTTCTGTRTGTTCTGTGCCTTCTGCCTGGTATTTCCATATGATGTCCCCTGACTTTTGCATTAGTTAACCATTCTCTCTTAACTCTCTCCATACCACTCCTGTTTTACAGATTTGTAACAGATTCCTTGCACTATTATCTTATTCATCTCTCTTCTAGGCTGATAAGTCTCACATTTTCGRGTTTCATAGTACCTCCAACAAGTTGGAGCTTCCGTCTCTCTACTGCTGATGGCATGTCCTTGCTCCCATATGGATTTCAGGTGCTTCAGCTTGCACAATTCTGCTGAATGCAACGCTCCTCACCTTTCCCTCCCCTCMCCTCTCCTCTCCCTTTTTGCTCTYCCTGCTGGAGATCTCACCAAGCCATGGTTAGATGGCTCTTCTTGGCCCTGGACAAGCTGGCCTKGTGTGCCATAGCAAGAAGCTCTGTGGGGAACCCCAATGTCTGCAGGGTTGTCCACTCATGTCCCCAGGCCAGGCACCACTTACTGACATCCAGGCCTCAGTGGTGTTGTTGGGGATGCTCARCAAAATGCTTTGTTTCAGAAGGATGAACATCTAGCTCAAGCTAATAATTTCAGCAAAGTTGGAAACAAATTTTKGTTCATTACCATTAAGGAAAAAATATAACCTGTCAGGTTATCCTTAGAATAATGAATCCTAAAACTATACTTACTACAGACAGCGTGTCCAGGTGAAGAGTCAAATACACCTCGTTCTGTGGAGGCTTTAAAAGCAGCACCATGGGAAACCTTTCCTGCAGCTACAAGTATGCAAATGCCTGCCTGATTTTCATAGGATTTATTGATGTGGAATATGCTCTTTTGTTCGTCATAAGAAACCTTTAAACCRGTTATTTGAAAGCCTCCAAATGTTCTATTTCGAAAGCAAAGTAGGAACAGATTTACTTGCTCTTGATAAATAAAGCTATGGTCAAGTAGTAATTCCCTGAGGATGTGTGATACTTCCAAAGACTTTRAAACAGGAAACTAAGACAAGGAAGCCTATCATCAGGAAGCTGACATTCACAACAAGATGTGTGAAATGTCTTTGCAAACTTTTAGAGGAGTCTTCAAGCAAAAATTAAAATGATCTTTATATAACAAAATGTCACAGTATCCTCAAAACTGAATCTGACTGAAAGGATTCTYATCTCTTGTGCTGCAACTCCTTTGTATCTTTCCAGTAAGAAACACCCACCGAAGATCTCTGTGGGATGTGATGAGTATAACAGCACTTCCCAGACAGTGAAATCATTCTGTACTGACGCTGATTTTCAGCCTTATCATAGAGGTCAAAAGAAAAGCAAGGGATCTTGAGGAGAGGCTGAAACCAAGGTCTCTGTTTTTCACCCATGATTCAGTGCCAGCTTGGAAAGTCAAGAGCTTCTCACCTCATTCCTGATATCAGCAAAGGGATTGCATAATCTTAGCACTTCTAATCTAAGTAATAAATCAATATCTGGAGCCTTGTCAGTTGTTTATTTGTACGAGGCGCAGTGACTGATGAAATCAACTATTTCCTAAATACAATCCTATTTCCTCATAGATGTACAGTTAGAATCAAAACAACAGAAWACAAAATTTGTACACAATCTTGGCCATTTTGTAGCAAGCACTTTCCCAGAAAAGTTACCTGAGTTTTGTGTCAGGGTGGTAAAGTTTTAAAGTGTCCCTTGTTTGCACGTTGGACCTCCACATGAACACTGCCTATCAGGACTATTCCACTTCTGTTCACTCCAGAACTTTTTTAATTGATTCTTGTGTTTTAAAGGAGAACAAAACCAACACAGAAGTCAGTCGTTCACATTTGGTGACACAAAGGCTTACTGATATCTTCAAGTAAGTGCATTCCAAGGAGGAATTTCCATTAGGGGGAATTGAGGGATGGCTGTGAGTAAAGGGCAGCATTTTAAGAGAAGGGGCTGCTACCAAACATTTGAACTGCTTTGGGTTTTGATACTTTTTGTTCAAGCTAGTTCCATTCCTCCCTTAGTCTTATACAGGAAACCAGATTCAAAATTTGTCTACAAATCTGTTTATAAAGTTGTCATAGAATAATAACAAATTTCTATGTTTTTACATGAAGAATAAAACACCCTTTATGCATCTCCARTAATAATACTGGGCCTTTGAGGGACAGAGCAGAGGGAGAGTAGAGACAAAGTCTCATAGGTTCTCCAAACAAAAAACCTGTAATCAGTTTTGTTCCGCTGATGTTCCCAAATATGACTTCTCACTTTGAGTCATTGTGTAGGAAAATGAATAGCACCTTGTAAGTACTGAACATATACTTGTATTACGTGATTAAATCATTGGTTCAAGCCCTATTCTATGTGTGAAACAGAAACRTGTACCTGCTTGCAGACATAACATTTGTATTTTGCAAAAACTTCACCTGCATTACCTGCTCAGGTGTGTGCAGAGTTTAGAGCTACTTTCCTTTCGAGAAGTGATGCCTGACAGTAACACTCTGCCTGCTTAGGCTTGAAGACACCAGAGCAAGGCRAGCACACATTGTCTGATTTTCTCTTTTCCCCGATTCTTTCCTCCAAGTGGACACCTAGCTATTTACTGATCTTGGGTTAAATCAGCACTCACAGCAGTTCCCGAGAGAGGGGTAGGGTTGCACATTACACTAAGCCAAAGGACAATGTAGTTGCAGTGTTCTCTTACTGTCCAGTTTATGACAAAACCGAAAAGCCCCATCTGAAGCACAGCCTTAAAGTATTAGATCACAAATTGGATGCAGTATGGACCAGGAATTCYTGACTGAATAATATATATTTTAATAAAGGAAAGCAGGATTGACAGATTTCTGATATATACCACACTAAATCTAGGGAAAGATGTGGCACTCTTAATATTTTTGTTGCCATCAGTTACAGCGGAACAATCAGCAGATCACCATAGAAAACAAAATACCTAGAAACAGACTTCAGAGTAAACTTTGAACAGCCATTGCAAAGAAGACTGWATAGTTAGCACATAATAAAATATGTTCTCTGCTGCCTAGCGACATTTAAAAGAAAGAGAAGGAAATGCTATGAAAATTAAATGTTTTATTTAATTTTTCGCAAGTTCCAATCTAAAGTGCATAACCACAGTTACCAGTAGCCACAACAGGCCAGACTTTCTACAAGAGAGCCCATTAGATTAGGACACATTATGGCTAAAAATATGGCTAAAAATTGTCTTCTTTCAGCCTGCTCTGTACTCTTTCCAGCAGGATCTCTTGAGTCTCACAGTTTCCTTTAAAGGAAGCATAACATTTTAAATATGGTGCCCTAATTTAGTATGAAGCCATTTAGGGAATTCATTAGAGCAAAGATTAGACTTCAGTGAGGACCTTGACCTCAATAGTTTTTCTGTTTACWTGTGTGATGGGAGAAGTTTTTGAAAGAAACAGCAAGGCCAGCTCCTAATTGATACATTTTCCCACAACTATTATTTTTTTTTTTATTTAGAACCTAGATAAAAAATATTTACGTGTTCACCTTAATTTTGTTCCAATTTTTCATTTGAGCTAATTTTTTATAGAAATACAGTATTTTAAAAAGTAACATCAGTCCTAAGCCTGTATGTTTGTGGGCTGGCAGCTGCTTCAGCTGCATTTCTGAGGAACATGGAATAGGGAAGAACAAACAATATCTTCTGTGGTCCTGGACATGTTGTTCTGACAGCAAGCAGTTGCATGTGCATGTATTCCTCTGAATTTGTAAAATGAGAAGTAATGTTGGCAATGTTAGAATGACTCAACTTACTGCTTATCTGTTTGTACCCATTTCTGTAAGCCTYGGGGGCAAATAGACATCAGTAGATTGCATGAAGGACAGACATCATCTTGTCCAAACCATAATTTGGGGCAGAAAGGAACACTTAACTCAGAGTAACTGGCTTCCTGTGTAACAATTCATCTATTACACAAAGATTAAATGGTGTGTTTCTTTGGTTTTTGATATTTCATTTCTTAAAGCAAAAAAACATTAATCAACACATTGTCCTTAACACTGACAGACTGAGCTATTTTCTATACTTAATAATATAAAAACACATCTAAGATAAATTCCTGAAATTTATTTGGTGATAGACTGGCAGTCTACTTACATGCAAGACTTATAAAATCATCTTGTTATTGTGAACTGCCTTGTGTGATTTTTTTAAGTAACCTGTAAATGACTCTTGGAACATCTGTTTTTATGGTTGTAAATCCCTATAAAAACGAGTACAAACTAATCCTGCTTTCATCAGATATACTTTCTTTTTGTTTCAGAGATTACTATGCCCAGAAGGTGAATATGGAGTCACAGCACCGAACTCTAGCCCAAGAACAGAAGTATTGTGTGTGCTTTAAAGCAGGTTGGTAGCCTTCAAATATTAAAATACTCTGTACAGCTTGTCTCAATTCCAGCAAGCTGCCAGTCTGCCCTGACATGCTCCAGCAGCTCTGCTTCAGCCTGTTCCTGAGCTTGTAAAGGAGTTCTTACAAGATACCCTTCCAGCTTCCATTCTTTCTGTCATGATTTACAAGACACTGTACCTATAAGAATTTAATTTACCCAGCTTGTCAAAAAGTCTGGATTTTTGCTGGAATTCAGATTTTATTCTTTTAATTCTGTCTTTGCTGCAAAACTTTGAGTCATATCTTGCTTTTTTTTCTAGCACAACCCCTTTCTTCAGAGGCTGATTGATTATACTGCACTGTTTGCCATCAGCCCAACACAATTACCTCCATGGCACTGTGGAACACTGAAAAAGGAACACAAATTCCTGGAGAAATATCTTTTTAAATGTAATTTATGGATAGGTTGCAGTAGTGGTACAGWTCCCTTCAGCAATTTTGCATATTACACTGAACAGTGTAAGAAAGGGACATGATTTTTTTTTCTGGGTTACCTTTTTTAAACCCTTTAGGAGTCACCCACAGAACATTCCCCACATACACTTTTACCTCTCCCATCACTTAGGTCTGTATAAGCTCTTGCTTACATGAACAAAGATGTCAGTATAACACATTTCCTACATTCTTAATAGCGTTTTTCAGTCAAGAAGTCAACATTTCCTTTGCATAGGAATTTCATTGCCAAAATCTTTTGCGTCTAAATGGATCTGTTTCCATTCATAATATTTGTGTACACAAAACATCTGTCCATGAGAAAAACAGAAATATCATATAAAGATGGCTAGTACAGCTTAAAGTACAAAGAAGGTACTTGGAATTCTTACCTTAAAAATGCTTCCTGTGTGATGAAGGATTTGACTCAGCACTCAGATCTGTAAAGTAAAAGTACTTTTAATGAAGAGTCCAGGTGAAACTCAGTCTCTAATGCGGTGGTAGTTAACAAAACTGACTCTTAAATGCTTGCACTTGTGACATTAACTTCCTTTTTGGCATCAAAACAGAAGAGAATTCTACTTGCACAATCAGTTTGTCTTATCAGTGGCTGCTACCTACTTGTACATGTTGTTCTTCAGGTTTACAGTTAACGTCATGTATGCAAAAAATATTCATCAAATATGTTTTATTTACACAATGCTTTGAATGACCATGCTTTTGTTTCCATCAGTAGTTCTATTACAAGTTCATTCTACAATGTTCTTACAAGTTCATTTTTGGAGTCAGTTGTTTAATTTATTCACATAATACTATATATGCAAATTGTTTGAAAAAAATAAATTGTTATTGTAGTAGCTACAGAAGCAGTAAATGCTTGTGAATGAAGCGAGTTCTGAAATTCACAGGCACTGGGGCTGGGGAGGGGAATGGCTGCCTTGTGAGGTGTTCTCTGCCCCTGCTGCTCTTGTACTCAGAGTCCAACAGTGCCCAAAAGCAGAACCCTTCTGTTATCTGCCATGGYATCTGGCTCCACAGGCCAGCCCAGGCATCAGTATTACACACAGCTGACAAATACCCCGATAACAGTTTCTTCTCCTTCAGATGAATAGTATCACTTACAGACCTATTTTCTTACCAGACAATGATACTTAAGAAAGATGATGCTGGTGAGTTTCAGGCTTTAGTCTGTGCTACCTAGATAATTTAACTCCTTCATTGGTATACAATGGAAGTATCCTCACATAAAAGACTTGTAGCAGCTTGAGAAAATGAGAAGGCAGTGCAAAAATGAGAAGGCAGGGTAACAAAAGGTACATTATATCCACTRGACAAGCAGCCTGAGCAATTCCATMTCTAACCAAGTTTTAGAATATTATTTTTCATTACTTCATCCAGCCATATTATCGGGCTTTACAAGGGATGCCTTGCTTATCKCCTTATTATCAAGGATACAAACAGCACTAGGGCTTTTTTTTTTTTTTCCTGTAGCTATTATTCATCAGCATTCACAGTAACACCCTTCTGTAGAAAGCTTGGGAGCAGCCCAAGTGTCAGCCCAGGATAGCAAAGCACAGCAGTGGCAGCACCTTTTCTCCCCTCACACACAYGAGGGTCAGTTCTGCCTGCAGAGGCTGCTCAGCAAACAGAACATGTGCAGAGTGTGTAGCACAGGACCAATTCTCAGAATTCATAGAGTTGCTTAAAAGAAAGCACATGTGTTACTAGGACATGCTTTCTCATTGGATTTATGTATGTTATGGTGAGATCTGAACTCCCCAAATACCAGGTACATGACAGGCTGGTATAGTAAGTTCATTCCTACTTATGAACAAATTTCTCGTATTAGAAAGTAAATTCTATAATTTGGAGACAAACCACATAGTAGAACATAATTTCATTTTTTATCTTTGCTGTCTATCAAAGCTTGTTTTATACTGAGCATTTGACACAATGCTGCTGTGGCTGGAGAATTAAAAGCAATGTCCCTATTCAGTGTTATTCAGTGTTACACTGACATTTACTTCCCTTCCCAGAAATGGCWGGCTGACAAGGCACTTAGACTCAAATGTTGTGCAGAGTAAACAAGAACTCCTACAAAGAGCAGAGCTGATGAAGCCTTCCAGGTTTTTAATAGATTTGAACCCCTAGCTCTTTTTCTTCCATGGATTTCCTGTTTGATAAGGATGACCTCTCATTGCACAAMTAATGCTGTTGGTATAAAAGATCACTGAACATTATTCACCATTTCCATGCTAAACCAGGTTGCCATGCAGCTGCACATGCAAATCCTGTGTGTCTACAGTTTTGACCCAATATCAAATTCTTATCAAAAAAGCAAATTTATAAGGTGGGACACCCTTTCTCATAGAGCTTTTATTGTCAAGTCTTGAGTCTGTCCTAGTTATCCTGTGAAAGCRGCTTTGCCCAATGCCTCAGGTAGGAATTTCAGGTGACAAACCCCACCAACTTCTTGTTCAAGTTTACTCACAAAATTAGATTTATAATCAATGCTACTGTTTCATCCTTTCCCTATATAATAATTTCAAATGTTACACACTTTTATACTTCTCTGCAAAGTGCCACAACAGCACCAGAAGTGCATAGAGTCCTTGCAGTGCAGGGGAAGCACTACACACAGAAATTACATCCTTATTTCTAAGCATCTCCTTTTCTTTTTGCTACTCATTTAATGCTAAAACTGTCAACTAATTTCTGAGACTTGTTTCAAATTTTCACTTTTTTTTTTTTTTTTTTACATGGCAAACCCAGCAAATGCTATCTCAATGCAATTTCCATTACCTTACATCTCATGCACAAAATTTAGGACCTTTCAGAATTCATACTGCAAATAGATATAATTAATCTATGGAAGTTACCCAACAAAGCAAAGGAGCAAAAACACACAAAAAAGAGACTCAATGAGAACTACAACAGGCATTTAATGAGATTCCACCTACTTCAGCAGCACAGGGCTCTGTGCTTACTTGGAGGGAATCAACTTAGATGACTGAACGATTGTGAAATTAATCTCCAGTATGATCCCACTGACTTCTCTGGTACTACACTGGGCACAAGGCTGGCTCACATGCTATAAAAAGCGTTGGCATAAGCACAAAGAAGTTCAGGAAAAATGTTGGAGGATTTGTTTTAAATCAACAAAGCAAGATTTAACTTTGGACTTASTATTTTTCTGTGGTGTAACTTACTGGCAATTCCTCCTAATACTGGATTAAGAAGTTTAAAATAAGCCATAATAAGCCATATTCAATATCTCAGGAGGTCTACAGTAATAATACCAATTAAGCTTAATAATCTCCTAAGTCTGCAGGTCTAAGACATTCCCCTGGGTGTTAGGTGATACTTCAGCCAAATACTGATATGTCCCATTCAGGCAAATAAACAAATCAAGTTTAAGAGGCCTGACATTAATCTAAAATAATGATAAATAAATGCTATTAAGTTTTTATCTAGTGATCAACGTATCCCCAGAAGGATTTATACATTTTCCCCTGCCCCAGGCCAGATGAGGAAATGGAAMAAGGATGCGTAATATTCAATGACAACATCATGGGGTATAGGCCTGTCTGAAGACAGAATTGGTGCAAATCCATCTGGAGCTGATAAGTGGGCTTTCTGAGAATAATCATTCATGATATTTCAAAGCAAACTGCTCCATTTGCAGAGAAGATATGAACCCCTCCTCCTCCTGTTCCTAACACACCTTTTAAGGTTCAGAGAAAAGAGGAAGGGGAAGAATTACATTTCAAGAACTAAATTTCAGAATCTGCTGGAGAATTTTACATCATTGGTTCWACAAGCTTTATACTACTACACTCCTTACAATTCAGCCAAAATATTTCAGATTATGCTGGCCATTCAATATCCAAAAATACACTGTGGGAGCTTCTTGCTTCTGCTTACAGGCAGATGTATTGAGGTGGCTGTGGAGCAGTACTCAGGCAGGATTATCAGGAGTTTTATTTACTGCTTATTTTTTACTGCTTTATTTATAGACATTCTATTGACTCAACTTGAATTTATACCAATTGGGTTTCATTATTGGGTTTCATCCCAATTTGTACAATGAGAGTTGTGCTGCTCACAACTGGTTTTATTTTCAAAGTATCTTTTCAAAGTATCTACTTCTCTGGTTTTATTTTCAAAGTATCTTCTCTTAAACTCTGCCTTTTTAGTCTGGCAGTGACCAGTGGCACAGGTAATTTCCATTTCTTTGCTAAAACTCACCTGCTTCCAAGAAAGGAAAGGACAGCTGTTTAATAGCAATAACTACTCCAGTTCTGGAAGCCTGACTTTCCTCCGAGGTGCAAACCAGGCTAAAGCCAAGCAGGACCGGGGCTGCCACCTGCTGTGCAAGTTTAATTTCTGCTCTCCATTACAAAAGTGAGTAATTTTGTACCAAACGGTTAATTGAAGAATGCCGATGTCTAGCTTGACTTCCTTCTTAAAAAATCCTTTAAAGGAGAGGAATTTGGCACAGATGGCAATGGGGAAAAGCACAGGCGTGGTGCAGACTCGTTGTGTCTCCAGGCARGATCACTGGGGTAGGTGCCTCAGCTGAGAAGGTCACACACACCTGCTCTGTCACAGTTGTTCATGTGGGTACTGTCTACATGTGCACAACCCAATGTACTTCAACCTCTGCAAAAGAAATATCTCAAAATACCAACTCCTGGGGACATTTGAACTCTTTTACAGTGTGCGAATAACTGTGTAAGAACTGTCTGCAACCCTACAGGTGATAGAAACTTTCTGCTAAATGTCCACCAAATTGCTCTTGCCTGCTTGACCGGTGCTTCCTTTCCTGTTCATTTGGGTTTTGTTTGTTTTGCTTTTAAGAGAAGCAGATTTTATATAGATACCAAGTATTTTTAAAATATCCTTGTTTCACTTACGTAATTTGCAAATCACAGAATCTCAGGGCACTACAGAAATAGGAGAAGGCATGCACTAGTATTGTGGTGAAGATTTGAAAGAATCTTTTAACAAGAAAACTGTACCTTATATTCTGCTTGTGTGGCTGAACCTCTAGAATTTTCTTTGTTTATATAGCAGCTATTTGTGCTCTTTGGACTTAATAAAACAGCAGCAAATGGATCTGAAAAACAGGAATAACCTGAAATGTTTCAAGCTGGAATATAAGGATTTTTGTTACTTCTTTGCCCCTTCATTGGAGAATTTTTTCGATGGCATGCTCCTAGGAGCTCCCTTGAGCTTACAGACTCCAGTTTCAGCTTATCCCTTTTTYTCTGTTTCTAGTAAAGAAGGCTTTACAGAAACAATTTGGGCACATTTCTTCACCATTTGWCAGAATTTTATACAGAAAAATCTGTTACTGAGCTCCTAAGATCTGCTGGGTAACAACCTGTACTGAGTACCAC